AAGGAAGGAAGGAAGGAAGGAAGGAAGGAAGGAAGGAAGGAAGGAAGGAAGGAAGGCAGGCAGGCAGGCAGGCAGGCAGGAAGGAAGGAAGGAAGGAAGGAAGGAAGGAAGGAAGGAAGGAAGGAGAAAGGCAAAGAGAAAGAGAAAAATACTATATGTTTCTTGCTTGGAAAAACCCTAGTAACTCTTCAATTGTTTCAACGTTATTTCCTGTTTGAAAAATTAAGAACTAGGCTATTTACTGTTTGAAAAGTTAAGAAGTAGGTTAAGCATAATCTTATAAAATGTCATATAACAAGTCAAAAACAGAAAATAAACAAACACAAGTGATTCTCATTATTCTCGCTCCAGTTCTTAATGAAATGAATAGGGTTGCCAGATTTTAGGCTGAAGTTGATTTTAGGATAATATGGGCGAAGTGAATGTCTTCTTCTGTAAAGGCATAAAAGAAAGACGTTCTTTACATTTTTATTTTTGTGGAAAGCAGAAATGTGATAAGAGCAGTAACTATCTGTATCTTTGTAATTATCTTGCAAAGCAAGGCCCCCTTCAAATATCATTACTGAGTATTATTTTTAAGGTGACAAAAGAAGACAGTGTTCACTTTATGGAATATTAATGTACTGATTGTCCTTAACTTAAGTTTGATTTATATTTAATCATATTAAGTTTTGTTCTGAATATATCTATTCCTTTCTTTTGCCCCGCCCACTTTTTGGAATGTGGCTCATTACATGCCATTCAAAGTCTTAGAGCTTAACCCTGGGTCTAAAAAAATGGTATTTTTTTAGGGCACAAAGAATAGGTTGTATTTATTTGAAACTGGGTAGGATTCAGAAGCATAATAGAGGAAAGGAGCAATGGATGTGCACGGCTTCAGAAACAGTTCAGGAAAAAAAGTGCTTTATCCGCCTACCACTCTTTAATGCAGCCCTGGAATCACATAGCTGCCACATGAACCCCAGAAATGATAAAACCGCTATGGTAGGTAGTACATTTCCATCCTTGTGCGAACTAAAAGACCTTTTCAGAATTGAATCTGAAGCACAGAACCACACTCGTAACATCTTGGCCTTTTTTCTGCTGTTACAACTCAATAGCCTTGCCCTTCCTGCATTATAAACTTTGGACTAGGGACTTTTTAATAGAAAAAGGTAACTATGTCTGAAAGTAAAGCACATACTGAATACTTTAAATTTAAGAAAAGTCTCTTTCTGCTAACACTGCACCTTCACACTGAAGGAACAGTTATAATTTAATCGTTCTTTTGTATCTAACAGTTTTACGCTTGCACATGGCTGACACATTTAGTCATTCATGCCTAAGCCAACATTTCTCAAATTTGTTCTATGCCGCCTAGAGTTACTTGTTTGTGAGATGGAAAGCTATATAAATAAGATTTCTATGTAAGCAAGTTTTTTTTATTGGGGAAAATGGATTCCCCCCTTCCTTTTTTCTCACTACCCCATTGGGGAAAACTGCTCTGCAGACTGTTCTTGGAAATTTCTCCAAGATATACCTGACGCTGTCAGAATGATGCTAAGCCTTTGGCAATTGGTTGATACAAAATGGCGGGCAGTCATCATTTTGCTAATATTAGTCCTAACGGGGAGAGAAAGTTATTCTTTCCCATCCCAAGAAACTAAAGCAACTCTTCCTGCTGTCACTCACAATTGGCAATAAAAGTCATACCTTCCTGTTCTGACCGCCCTCGTCCCACACCAACACACTCCGAGCCAAAGATAAGTTACGGCATTTAATTAACATACAGACAGGTCCTTGGCAGCAAACCGGCACAGACAAGCTTGGGCAGCAATAAACACAGATAAGCCGTGGCAGCAATCCAGCCTGCCAAGCTCACGATAATGTTCTCCCACATTAGTTCCTGTGTTGACTTCTGCAAAAGGAGTGTGTGCACAAGCAGTCCTTT